CTGAGATTTTTTAAAATCTTAAAGTCATGGATTTAAAGATCATACAACGCAATGTCAGGACGAAAGCCTTACCTGTACTAAGACGGATAACGAGCACATCCGGTGTAGCTCTGAAGTAAGTTAAATATTGCACACAAATCCTCTATTAGCATCAAATTTCAACTTTTCAAAACACTCAGGCACAGGCACTAGAATTTTGCGGTTTTCGTCAATATCAGAGTATAATCCGGCAGTATGCCTTAATGCTAGTTAAATTCATTGAAATTGACCAGTCCATACATTTTTGTCTTATACGGCATATATAATATTCTTACAGCACACTATCCAACTTCTATCATTCGCAACCACCAGGAAGACGCGAGGAGGTACACTTATCGTTGTATTTTTAGGTCAATGAAAACTTTATACTAGCATAAGTTTGCTTTTAGGTGGGTAGTCCCACTCGATTGGGTGTTAGTCAAATGACGTTGATCAGTAACACTCCTCGTGGCTCAAACTGTTCAAGCATGCCGACAATTGAGACCGACATGCCGGACACCCCACGAAGGTGAGATTTATTGCTTGCCGCTAAAAGGACTAGTGTTAGGGTTGAGTTTCAGGTCATCTCCTCGTGTCTCGTTCCAAGACAACGTCTCATACTGTTCACGACCGTCATCGGATTCGGCAAGACCGTCATTTGGATGGTCAAAAAGAGTATCTTCGATTCCAGAAGTGAGTTATAATGTTCTGTGATATTGTTCGACGTCTTGAAAGGGTGATTTTTGCTCATGTAAACCTCACTAAGCAGATAACACAAACGATAAACCGAAACGAGCTTTGAGTGCTAGTTGTCAGAAAGGAAATAAAAAGAGCTGATGTATATTCCGGGCTCTGCCGCTCCTAGAACTTTGTCACGATATGGAGAAAGCTAATTGCTCACGTCTCTTCAGGTATCTGATTTGTCTGAGCATTCTAGCGAAAGTCATCACGAACATATTCCAACACAAAAGTTACCAGCAAGATCAGAGGTATGTGGCAAAAATTCTACATAGTTTAGAAATAATATTGCTTCTTGAGAATGTAAAGAAAGTACAAGTTTTGCTAGTGG